CCTTGTTTGTTTAAGGTAATTACTACTTGTCCTCCCATCCTGCCGGCCCAGATGATGCATGAAAATTACCATTCCCCTACTTCAATCAAAGCTGGAAAAAGAAAAGGGAGAAAGGAGGGAACAGAGGCGAGCAGATGGGAGGGGGAGGCGGTGAGAGAGGAACTCTGTGAGACACACAGAGCTCCCTCCCTGCATGACAAGAAAGGGCACCGTCTCTGATTAATTAGCTGGAGTTGGTAATCAGTTTAATAAGACTGAAGTTGATGGTGAGAGGTCCCCTTTGGCAGAGGCACGCTAAGCTTAGCACTCTGTTCAGGGCCCTCGCTTTCTTCCACCAAGTAAACACGCAGTGTCTATTTACATAAACAGTTGTTTCTTTTTTGTGGGGGGCTATTTTTCCTTCCAAACCGCCCGAAAGCCTAACACCACCGCTTAAGTCACTCCCAACAATGGAAGCGGGAATTGCAGACAAATTCATGAATTTTTCAACATATGAGAACTAATTAAATTGAGGCCTTTTTGAAATGAATATAGTGTGAGGTACTCACTAGCCCTACGCACACAAAGAGGGTATAATTCAGCGATTGAATTCTGGCTTGATAGCATTCAGCCTTTTACCATGGTGAGCTATACAGATGGCTGGGGTCCTTTTCATTCTTTTCTTTCTTAATGGCAAATCTCATTATGGCAGTTATCACTGTAAGGAGGACAAGACGGGAACGATGGGCCACAAAGCCACACGGTGCAGGAATTTGGTACCTGTCTGCCGCGGAACATGATACTTACTCTTAGGTCAGATCGTGATGAGAATTTAAAATTTGAGTTTGTTTGAAAAATTAGATACTGTTACAACACATATAAAATACTTGGTTTGATCAACAAAAAGCTATAGAATACACACAGTATATAAACACACATATATTTTAACGTTTACCACAAGGATTTGAAATTGACCTCTTAAAGGAATATTTGATAATGTTTTGGGAAATACACTTATTTGCTCTCTTGCCAAGAGTTACATGAGACGATTGATACCACTTTCATGTCCCTGCATTGTGTATGGAGCTGGAGTCCGGAGACTGTTAGCTTAGCTAAGCATTCCTGTAAGACTGGAAGCAGGGGAAGCAGCTAGCCTGACTCTGGTCAAAGGTTCCCAGCACCAGGAAAACACTAATCAACAGTGACTTCCTGGGGTCTTGTCATCACTATGAGGCAACCAGAGGAAACTAGAGGAAATCACATCACCTAGCCAAGAAATAGTCCAGCACATAACACTCTGTAAAACCGCAACTCACCTTTTTAATACTTTTGAATGGATTCAACAAATGAGATGTAATGTGTTGATTACTGAGCTTCAAGACTTTGTTAGCTGTTTCCTCCTGCTTCCAGTCTTTTTTGCCAAGCTTCCTGTTATGCCTTGTGCACACTACACGACTTTCAGCGTCAGCCGATGGCTGTGCCGTTCACACTACACAACTTGCCGTCTTGTGACGGGAGTCTTGAAGTCGTTGTGGCTAAAAATCGTATTCAGATGTGAGTTTGGTGTTGATCTTCTCATCTAACCCTCTGCAAGAAAACAAATACAGCATATACCAAAGAAACTATTCTTTTAAACTACTTTTTTTCCTTGGTTAAACATTGTCCAAATCCAAACCTTAATTAATGTAGTTCGGTTTTATTATTTAAAAGAGCATTTTGTTTCCAGTTTGACATGTTTACCTCCTCAAACTCACAAATGAAATGACTGAGAGGTTGACGGTCTTCTTTTACAATTACTGAAACCTATTCTCTTTATTATGGTCAACCTCCCATGGTCTGTCTCCTGACCCCTGTTGTAATTAACACTGGTTTTTGCACCTGCCCAATTCAAAATATTTAAGATAAATTAATCATATGAAGCCTCTCACATGACAAAAGTACACTTTAAAAGTATAATTTTACTTTCTACATTGTTCACGCTGTTACACTTAAATCTAATAAGTCATGACTTAGACTTGTCTTGGAATGAAAAAAGAAGTTGTTGCTGTCATGGCCGAGCAGTTTCTATCTGAAGTAAACTCTGAGGACCAAGCCAGAGATAAGAGAGCACCACATCACCCTGTGGCGTTAATGATCGTCCGCTGTTACAACACAAAGACAGTCAAGTAGCAGATAGAGCACCGAAATAATTTAAGCAGTGCTAAGTGGTCTATTGTCATTCAAATGATAAATTATGCTTGGCAGGGGTTTTAGAGTCACTTTTACAAAGCGTTGCTATTGTTTGTATCAAGACAAGGTTTTAAGGAGTCGGAATAGAGGGAATTACTTGGGAGAGTTTGGAGTTTCTTGGGGTTTGGACACAAATTGCTTCCCCACTCATCAGGCCTCCCTCCATCATGGCAACAATGCTTACAAAGAACTGCAACGCTCAGACAACAGTGTGTAAATGAAGATTTGGGGTCAACATGGAAGCTTAGTTTAGTGTAAAGATGGTGGAAATTGATTGGGTGAAGACCAAAAAAAATGTCTGCCAATATGTAATATTACAAGGGTTCTTAACCCAGGTGGGTCAAAAATGACCTGGCTAGTCAGTTTTTTTGCCGTCACTAAATAGATAGCTATTTTACATACTGTTTCGACATTGTTTACAATTGTTAAAGCGTATCTGCTATTTCAAACATATTAGCCTTCTTTACAGCTAAGCTCACATAACTGTACAGTGGTTGTTGTTGTAAATAAAAGTGACCATGAAGAAAACAACTGTGTAAAGTACAATGTGCAATAATCACAGACAGCCATTTTTTCATTTAAAATGATAAAAAGATTTAAAATGACAAACATTACAATTTTTCAACAGTTCATGTGTGTAATTCAGATGATCATTTTGTGCAAACTTATGAGAACAGCATATTTATTATTAACAAAAACGACTATAATGCTGGTCATTTTTGACCAATGGAGTAGTGTAGGATCAAATGGCCTATCCATCTGAGGGTTCATTTAATGTATTTTAAACTTCCACTGTCTTGATTCAGTATAACAGTAGTATACAGAATTACCAGCATTCATCAATAACAAGTCTGGAGCAGTTTCTTCCCCCTTCTAATCAAGCCGGTGTTTGTAATGACCGTCTCTACAGTAGGTGAGTGTTCTTCATTGGAACTCTGCAATAAATTACCACACACGCCAGACTTACTGAGGTCTTTTCCTGGGACAAATCAAGGTAATGTTAATTACACCATTAAATTCATTTGCTCAGTGTAAATCCCCCCAGCTGCTCCAGATCATGCTGTGTCCATTCTTGAGATACAATGGGATTTCAGGTCTGTGTGTGAGGACATAAAGCCAGGTCAGTGGAAGTTATATAGTAAAGGCATGTTTACACATTATAACAAAAGGGGAGGCCTTAAATTAACACATGTTCATTGTTAAAGACAGACTACAATGAAAACTTTAAGGTCTTAATATATCACCAAATGTTACACAACTTAACCTGGTTGGCCACAAAAATGATATTCTCCCTCTCTCTCCAGGTACTTGGCACCGCTTACGATGTCATTACCTCTGTTGGGACTGTTAAATGGTTCCATAAAGAAAAATGAAATATTCATTAACTTGGTTAATAATTCATTCAGATAAAATGCAGGATGTGGTTTGCAGAGTGAAGATGAATGCATAATGGGTGCACGCTCAGCATATTTGTGCTTGGGAATGTTTTTATTTCGCGATAGCAAAAGAAGAAATTAATTGAAAGTTCATTTTTTCTGTTCTATAAGTTATGCTAAATGATAAAATAGATGCTTTCCAAGCAGTTTCAAACTAAGAAACAATTAAGAGGGCGTATAAGTAACCCACAGTATGGGTGTTAATTATGGAGGAAGTGCATTTAAACAGTCTTTATCAAATTGTAAATGTTAGCTTGACCTAATTCCCACAGTTTGAGGAAACTGTGTAAAGCACTTTGTACTTTGCTGCCTGAAAACTGGAACCAGAACCTCCGCTTATCATGTGACAAAAGCCTGCAGAGTAAAACAGTATATTCATAATTTCATATGAAGTTTTGTCATTACTGAAAATATCCAGTTGCTACTCCAGATGTCGCATCAAAGGACTCCTGACTCTGCTGTCCAGAAACGGTAGTAAGTGTGTGCATGTTGCTTCAGTTAACAGTGGAGTGGTAAAGTGTTCCCACGCCGCCACACTGCAGTGTAAACACTGCTCATCCAAACACTGTCAAACTAATTTCCTCACACCACAGAGGTTTCATTTTGGCTTTCAGATAAATCAAATCTTGTACTAATTATCAATTGTGACACCCATAATCACTGGAAGACTGTAGCGTTGAATAAATGGCATGTCTTTTGTGTTATAATTCTGTGCATCTTGACAAACGAGACCCATTAAACAACCCTGTGGCCTTTTTCAAGACCGATGATTACACCAATTAAAACTGCAAAACATCCGAGAGGGCGACAAGACGTGCCAGAATTAAACAGGTCATTAAATCAGCCAAGGAATATATCAACATCCACACTGCCTGTCGCTGCTACAGCAGGTTACTTTGAGAAAAAGGGAACAAATATACCTCTTGTGTACTAAAATGTAGGATATCTCATGCAAAAAGTAACATTTGGGGGGTTTTCTACAGTGGCCCTGAGGTACAAAACACAACAATACCGTTTGAAACACATCCACGAAAACAAGACAATGTTTCACAATTTGTTAATGATGAATTAAACATTAAATGATTTGGCTATGTGTGTTCTATTGTTGTGCTTTCATAAATGTCTGTAATAAAATGTATTTTCTATTTTGTTAATGTGCTTCACCTAACACTGTTTTGTTTTACCCTTCAAGGCCACCGTACCATCGTTTTTCAATGGGAACAAGTGAAATTTCCTCCGTGAAAATGACACCGTCCTCTTAAATATCTTCGGTACCCTTATGAAGGTAAAACATTTATATATTTAATATTGCTTGAAACTTTTGTTTACACAGGGAAAATTCAATGAGAGCAACGCTGCAATAAACCTTTTATCAAAGAGGTTGAACAATACACAAACAAAGCACCATTACCATGTCTGATGTACACTTTGCGTTAGGTGTCAGGTGTTTGGAACATTGCTCGCCTTTATCAGCTGCATCTCGGAGATCGCTCCTCTGAGTTAATCCTCTTCGAGCCGGCGATAGCAGCAAGTGATAGTGCTGATGTCTTGTTACCAGCAACACATGTTCCCTTTCATACAACAGCAGGTTTCCAACCATTTAATGGGATTGTTGTTGTTTTTTCTTCACCCCAGCAAAACACTTTTCCTAGAAGTGGTTCGACATGTGCCCAAGGAATTTGTCTCCGTGTTTCACAACAAATCAGCCTAGGTCAGGGGCTAAGATTGGCCTCCAGTAACAGACTATTGAAAACAGCTCCTCAAAATGACGAGAGGGGGGGAAGTGGATTTTCCAGCTTAAAAGGAGAATCATCTCTGCTCAAGGCATTATCCTGTGTTCCAAGAGATTAATAAAGTGAGATGCTATTGATATGGCGCTGCGCTGTTCCTAGATCAGCGCTGGCCATTTTCACTGACAACTACTGTACTAGCTTTAAAAAAAATGCTTACATGGCTTTTACAATACTTGGAAAACATATTTACAGATGGCTTTTTGCCTTTTGTTTTTAAATTTTCTTGTATGTTCTTCAATTGAGATGATAAATGTAATATTGAGGACAACCTTCTTACAGAGTTCTTATTTCTGAGTTCTGCAATGTTTATAAAATATGCAACACACACATGCATCCAGAAATTCTCTGTAAATAAAACGAGCTATTAAACCTGTACGTTGTTCTTGCTGGAGTTATCCAAAACTTTCAAAGGCCCTAAAATCCGTAATTTTTGTCCTGTTAATAAAGCATCTCTGATGTTTCCTCAGTCCTCAGTCAAGATATATTTTCATCAAAGTGAAGAAATCCCATGTTGTACTTTGATGCGCTTAACACAGTTTAAACTCGCGTCTCATTACAGAGATAATTAATAGTTTAATTAGCACCAATTCTCACCAACTAACAGCTTCTCAGCCACACAGACATGTGAGTCACTTGAATGTAAAATGATACAAACTGAGCTTGATTTTGAAAAATTCAGCACGTGTTTTTGTACTCATATCTAGGTTCCTTCAGCTCACGTGTTTTGTATGATAATTGGCTGCAAACTTTTATTTCTGATGTTTAGTTAATTTTTCCTCGTGCTGATTCAGCCTACACAGCAATGCTGGGAGAATACTGCTCCTCACCAGGGGACAAAGTGCCCAAATATGTGCAATGCAAACAACTTAGGTGGATTCATTTTAATTCTCATTACCTTGAAGCGAAAGCATTCATGTATGATTCTATGGTGGAATAAAAATATATAAGCGAGCATTATGAATAAAAGTAATTACCATTCTTGTGCTTTTCTGCATGCTGTTTGCAATTAACACTTCGTGGAATCTGAATGAGCATTTCAGACGTGTGAGTAGCTGCGGAGGCAAACACTGCAGATCAAAAAAGATCAAAGTAACAGCGTGCGGAAATCGGTGGTTTTAGACGAGTTTACAGATGCTGAGGAGAGCTCATCACACAATGAGCAGCGAGTGTAGGCTTCGAGAAACAGCGCGTGCCTCTTGTTCGGGCTGACATACAATAGCATGTCTCCCAGCATGGGTGAGGGCCAACAGCAAAGCCTCTGTTTCAAGTCCCCCCTTCCCTCCCCAAAACATTCACTCAACTTCCAGTTTACAACTGCTCACTGTTTACAGCAGCCAAATTTCATTTTATACTCCCAAATCCTATCGCACATTATCCTGTACATTGCATTAGGGCCCTAATCTTTCCTTTCTCTTCTTAGGAAGAATAAAGGAGCGCCTTCATGATTAACCCACTTTACTGCAATAAATAAACGCATCATCCAGTAATGTACACCAGATTTAATTTGAAAGAGGGGGGGGAGGCCAGAACGCTCAAATCTCTGAAATGTAATGAAAAATAACACAATGCAGACACCAGTGGGCGCCTTAGGAATTAACGTCAATGCTCCATAATTTTTTCTCTCTCTTGTACTCTCTGGATTGGTTTTTTTCACAGCCAACTGTGTGACTTCCCCCCCTTAAACTCTGCTGTTGTGAAGTCTTCAAAATATACAAAGTGAATGAAAAGAAACAGGATCAGTCTGCCATAAAAAACACTACTTTTATCAAATTAACTTTAAATAAAATCAGAGTCTTTCTCCTTTTCCTCTGCGTTTGTCACATGAAGCCCATATTGCTTTTGGTTTCCCATCGTTTTTTCGCCTCAAACCTGAAACACAGAAAAAACATCGTATTACTGAACCCTTTAAGAATACATTTTAGCTGTCAACTTCAATCCCTGCGTGAGTAATCACTCAAAGTGCGGCTAATGCAGGTTTCAGTGGCTCTATCTTAACTGTACTTGAGCCCAGAGTGTCACACATAGCAGATATGACGGCAAACAGAAACATGAGGAAAGAGAGAGACGTCGTACCCCCAGGCTATTTCCTTCGTCCTTTTCTGAGCTGCCCTCAAAGCTTCCTCTTCCTGTTTGCGTTGCACAAAGTCACGGCAATCAGCGGCTTGAGCAATATTCACAGCCAGCTATGTAGAGGCAGACAGAGGAGAGGGCCATTAGAGAATGGAAATCAGACTGTGGCAAGAAAAAGCTTTCTGACTGATGTGTCAGGGTGGCTTCTCGTCAGTGTCTCTGCTTCCCTGTGCTGCCTCCTCCACAACACAGCAAAACCGCTATTGAGCTGAACAACACATGAATGCTGTCCTACTATCCTAGAATTCAACAAATCTTTCAAGACATTAGGACTGGTGATCGCAATGATGATCAATTCATCTCCTTAAGACATCTGGAGGTTTGTGTTCAGTACAAACACTACTGAAGTGTTCCTATGTCACTATTAGGTTTCCGGTTTCTGAAGCAGGGATGAAAGCTGAAACGATTACTCGCTTAGCTTATTGACCAAAACTGTTGATTCATTTTGCGTTGAAGTCATTAAGTCAAGAAAAGTGCCCATCTTCACAAATATGAATATTTGCTGGTTCTTCTTTGATCGTAAATTGAATATCCTTGGGTTTTGGACAGTTGGTCAGTCAAAACAAGCAATTTGAAGACTTCCCCTTGGGCTCTGGGAAAATGTCAACGATTAATTGGGGAAAACAGTTGGCATATTAATCAATAATGAAAACAATCAGTAGTTGAGTTTGAGGATTTCTGAAGCGCTTCTTGTGTTCAACCCTACAAGCTCTTTACAATCTGCACACCCAACATGTTGGAAATATCTCTAAGGCAACAATAGCCAGTAAAAAAATAAAGGCAAAGAGATACAGTATAAATAACAGTGCTCACAAATGTTACTGGGGAATGTGTGTGAGCGCATATCTGAGTGTGTGTTTTGTGTGGGGGGCGTATAGCCCTATAAATTACAGGAGCATTGTTTTATTATTCTAATCTATTGTGCCTTTTGTTTGAGGTGTTTAAGAGGAAGTCATATTTAAAGCTCCTGGTCCTCCTGCACATTGTTTTTTCTTTGATTACTTATTTTTTTTCTTGTTTAATGTGCAAATGAAATAACTGAATAAATAAACAATGTTCAGCATTTTTGCTGTTTTCCCTCCACTTAAAAAAAAACGTTGCAATGGCATTTTCCACTCATCGCCAGTGTACAAGAGACTTTTCTGTTTGGAGTACTGCAGGCAGTCTAAAATCAGAAGTGAAGAGAATGACCGTGACTGCAAGAAGCAAACATTCAAATCCCAGGGAAGACGTATGTATTGTGAAGCAGAATAATCCCAATAACCCCAGTCACACAGAAGCACAGGAAACAAAGAGAAAAATCCTGCCTCCTCTGTCACTCCTGAGATAGGTTTATTATTCAAGCAAAGGCAAACTTTGATAAACAACTTGGAACAATTTCACCAAACCTTTGGGTAATTCTCTGTAATATTCAGAGTACAATCAGGGGGGAAAGGAAAGTCTTAAGGTAATGAAGAAATGTGCCACCACTGCGCCACTTGGAGAAAAAAAAAGACCTGCTGGAAAAAAATGTTTCAATTATAATTAAGTGGGATAAACTTTATTAGAAAGACTGAAACTAAAATATCTCCTAATGCATGCTAGGATTAAGCAGGTCAGAGCGAGCAGGCAGGAAAAATTAAACTCTAAAGGCTTTTTATCACCATATTTCAGGAACCAAGGGTGTAAAATGTTCTAATTTGGGATACATTAAAAGCCATAAAGGTCTTTCAAAAAGATTAATGGTACTTTGCTTGGATTTAAGATAAGGGCTTCGGCTGGCTGCAAGTACTGGGCTCCGGCTGGGCCCTCAAGGCATTCATCTATACAGTCACTGGAAGATTTGTGAAAGCGTCTGCACAGCCTGAAGCGTACATACTATGACAGTTCTCCAGTTCTTTGCCATTTTATAGGTTTTAAATTCCTCAAATCATGTTTTCTCCTCTTAAAGAGAGTTATAACGGGTGATTGCTCTTACATTTGTAGTAGATCTGCGAGCAGATAAAACCACACCAGGGTTTCCCCTGCTCCTTGTTGGAGTGGTGTGGGTACTAAAAGCTTTTGAGTGTGCACGATGCACGCAGAGATTATAAACCAGACATTTATTAAATTGTTGACAAATCTGAGAACAGCTCCTGCTCCCTGCGTTTGCATTCTGCAAGCAAATCAAATGAAACTGCATGATGCTAAATGGTTTCATTTGGAGATTTACAGACAGAGATTTTTCTTTTTTTCTACACCAGGATTACCCACATTAACCTGCTCTCCTGTGGGGTTGCATTTGAAATGCAAAAGGTCTTGAAAAACACGCCTTCCCAAGCATTCCAAAAGCAAAATTAAAACCCACTTCCATGCACCTCATTTCAATTCACAACATAGCGTTTACTATATTTAAAGCATTAAGGTCGTTTTTTCCCTTTTTTCTATCAGTTTAGTTTACAATCCCTGATTGTCTTTACTGGGGCTCAACATTAATGTCAACCAAGTTACCTAGGAGACAGAACAGATCAAAGAGACAAAAAAAAAAAAAACGCTCAAATGTCTGATTAATCAAGCCTGCAAACAGCTTATTTCTTTTAGCCTGCATGCAAGTATGAAAATGAGATTCCGAGAGCAGTACATTGTGCAGATTTGTTCATTCTTATCTGAACAAAGCCAGCGGCAGCTTATTTCATGGATCACTGGCACTGTCAGCGCTGTGGCGCCGAGCAGGTGACGGCTCCTCTTTCTGTGGCGAGAACAAAATTAGCAAAAAGTCGGCACAAATTAGCCTCTCATATTTTCAGTAATATGACATTATTTTTCATTTACTTTTTTGATCCACTTTTCAGGATTTTTCCCCCACCCCTCCCCTTGCGTGCATATTAGTGCCAAATCCTTTCACATCAGAGGCTGGTGAAAAAATAAGAATGAAAGTACAAAGCTGATATAAAAGCGGGAGACAGGAAACCTCCTGCATTCTTTGTTTATGTGGCTCCTAAAAGCCAATTCTTCCCACTCCATCACATATTAATATACAATTAAGTGTCCATCACAGCCATGTTTCCGTGCCTTGTGTCTCTCTCTTGTGTGGCCTGGGCACAGCTCTGTTAAAAACAAGGTTTATTCAGAGGATTAATACTTTGACCTTTGGAAGATCTGAGGGCAAAAAAAAAATCAGCATGCACAATGCTGGCACTGCAGCAGCAGCAGCAGCTTAAGGCCACAAGGAGGGTTAAGTCAATAGCACCGTTTTCTGTTCATTCATGTTTGGGTCGTCATGGAGATTCAAGTGGCGATCCAAACATGGGGTCTCAATCCAAATCCCCCCACCCCCACCTCCAAAAACTGCATTGCTAAACCAAGTCTATCTTAATAACAGTTTCACACTATTTTCATTTGTTCGTCTGTTCCATTGCATCATTTCTGTGGTGTTTGATAAATGAAAGAAGCATTAGGAAGTCTTTATGAGCAGTGCAGGGTTCACAATAACACTGTGGCAATTAAACAGCAAGTGCAGAAAGACAATAGCTGAATGAAAGATGAGAAAAATACATCTCCATGTGGATAAAGTGTTAAAGCTCATATTAACAATAAGAAATAAATGATGGCTTTAAGGAAGAAATGGCCTTAAACCCATTCATAAATTTCCTATCCAGGAAGCCTCTTCCAATTAAAACGTGTGAGAGGTGGATTAACAAGGGCTATATGGCTTTGCCTCACTAAATCACCTCCCCGAGCTGCTCTGCTGCATTTGACGTGTAAACGATTAATGACCAGCCTAATTCCCTTATCACACTACCTTAATGCCTAAATAATGTGGCCTTAGTCAACTTTGGGAAGCAGGGCTATATAAGAAAGGAATGAATATCAGATTAGGCAGCTCGTGTGTTATTTCAGCATAATTTCATAGAACTGAGGCGGAGGGGGGAAGAAAAATGTGTTTCTGGCTGCAAAGCCTTGGTGATGCAGCAACATTGGGAAGGTCAGAAGATCAAGAGGTCATTCAATACCACCCATATCGCTTTAAAAAGGAAGGAATACAATGTTTCAGTTGGTCCATTTTGAGATCTAAAAAGTAATAGACCGGAGTAAAAACAAAGGATGCAAATCAACCAGAAATGCACAAGACAACAGATAGGAGTGCTACAACATCACTTGGTGTGAACATATAGCCTTGCAGGGTTAATCTTAATCTATTATTCAATTATCAACATTGTTGCTAATCGCAGTGGTGGAGGAAATATCAAGATTCTTTACTCAAGGCAGCAAAACCACACTGTAAAAGCACTCATTGAAAATGTTACTTAACTAAATGTACATAAGTAATATTAGAAAAATATAGTTAAAGAATCAAAAGTACCAGATGCTTAAAAATGTTACTACTTACTTACTATTATATATTTTATCATTAGATAATTCTTCCTGATGCATAAATTTCTAAGCAGCATTTTACTGTTGTAGTTGGTCGAGTCGATTTTTTACTTTTTTATACAGGGTCGAAACTAACGATTTTTTTAAAATGACAAATTAATGTACTGACTGTTTTCTTGATTGTTTGTTTGGTCTGTAAATGTCAATAAACTGTCAGAAATGCCCATTTCAATACCCCAAAGCAAAAAGTGATGTCTTTAAATTGTTTTGTCCAACCAGTAGTCCAAACTCCAACATGACTGAGTTTACAGTAGAAAAGGAGAAAACGCTCACATTTAAAAAGCTAGAACCATGAAATGTTTGGCGATTTTGGCATGAAAAATAAACGATTAATCAATTATCAAAATAGGTACTGATTCATTTTCTGCTCTGATTTTACATACTACTGGGTAATTTAATATATAATAATGCATCATATTTTGTAAGATCCTTATTTGTTTTTCATGTAAAACCTGTAAAGTAAATGAATGTAGTGGAGAATAAAGCACAATATTTCTGAATTGTAGCGGATAAAGTATAAAGTTGCATGAAATAAAAGAATCAATTAGAACATTTCTGAGAATTTTTGAGTGTGCCTGCTGCTTGGTATGTATCCTAGTAACCCTTTTTCTGATTTGGGCCAAGTGGATGTGCATTGGGTGCCAGACGCTGGATGTGATAG